TGATATCTTGTGCCTATTGAGATCTGAAGACTGAAGTTGGAAGCCAGCCTGGGCAAGAAAGTCCATGAAACTCTTTATCTCCAATTAATCAGCAAAAGCTGGAAGTGGAGGTACAATTCAAGAGGTAGAGTGTCAGGCTTGAGTGAAAAAGCTAAGTGAATTTACAAGTTTGTGATTTTAAGCCCCCGTATACTCTCTCTCTCTCTCTCTCTCTCTCCCAGGATAATCTAAAATGAAGAACAAAGACTTGTCTGCTGTAAGGTGATCTTCTTGTGAATAATAGGAAGGACAAGTGTGACTTGGGATCTATTGCTTAGAAGTCTGGCCATTAAAGTGCTAGCCCTGCAAAACAAGCTCTTTTCAGACTGAAAATGTGGCTTTGGAAACAGAAGGTTTAAGGATTAGCTATGGCATGTGTAAGTTATGAAAACTTACTGAAGCAGTTAAGTAATTTTGATCCAATATTCTAAATCCAAATATTTTCCAATTGAGTGTAGGAATTCACTTTTTAGATTTGTGGAATACAGGGAATAGAACCAGTTTGTTCCTCGTAGACCAAAATTTCTTTCAGGCCTTTTTTTTGAGGCAAATTTTTCAGTCAGTCATCAGAAAAGTAGCCATGTATTATGCAGGATGTCCCAGGCCTTGAAGAGCTGGCAATATTTTTGTGTAAGCTAGGCAAATGTTCACAAATACGACCACTGGGAAAGACTTCTGACTGAATTTACTTATGTCGTCCTGAGGGGTTTATGCAGGCAGAGATAAAGCAGTGGGACTAGATGAGTGTGGTCTTGCAGAAGCTTTGCTCAGGGTTGGCTCTTGGAGAGAGGGCAAGAGTGCTCACCTATTTGGTACAACAGCCATAGAGATAGCTGTGGTACTGGTGTCTGGTTTATCATCTGCTGGCTACACAATGTTCTTCCAAGTTGAGCCTCCTGTGATTCCCAGGAGACTGATTCTGTGCAGAGTGGAGTGACAGCTTTTGTGGGCTGGGATGTAGCTCAGTGGGAAAGCACTTGCAAAGCAAGTGCAACGTCCTGGGTTTGATCCCCAGTACCAAAAAAGAAAAGACACACACAAAAAAAGTTAAAAAAAAAAAAACAAACAGAAAAGGAAAAATAAGATTTGATGATGTTTTCTGGAAATGTGTCTGAAAGAACCATCATTCTTAGGTGAGTTGAGAAACCCATGGAAGTTAAGTTTGTGTTGATTGAACAACAGAGTATGTCATCAGCAACTTATGGAAGCCATTATTGGAGATGGGCTGATGCTCAGGAAGGCCCTGGGGTTGGGGAAGCAGAATAAAAGCTCTAGGATGTGTGTGTGTGTGTGTGTGTGTGTGTGTGTGTGTGTGTGTGTGTGTGTATACTATAACCATCATCCCATGTTGAGATGAGAGAGGCAAGAGATCAGATGACGAGGGGTGGGAAGATTGAAGATGGAAGTAGAAGTCAATGTTTCTCCTGGGCTGCAGTGCAGCTACAGTGAGAGCCAGCGAAGGTGTTGGGGTGGGGTGGGGAGGTGGGAGAACCGGTGTACTGCTGGGGCATGTGGAGGCCCAGGGAACTGGGAGTGATGACTTATGCTTGTACATTTCATCAGTTAATGGAGGAGAGTTCAAATGCTCCAACAGTGAGATGTTTAAGACTGTTTGGAACCAGAACCACAGACTTAGAATAATAGTTAAGTCAATAAGATCTACAAACTGATTGATGAAAGAAGACAAGAATGGAAATCTAAGGTCAGATCTGAAAATGTTGCTGGAATTAGGGTGGTTGAGGGGCTCACATTTGATTGGAGCAGATAGAAGTACCAGAAAATGGACCCTAAGGCCAAGCCCTGTCCCTACCGTCATTTTAATTGGCTAGCTTCCTTGGTCCTTATGTAACGCTCATTTTAACTGGCTAGGCTGCATGGTCCTTACATAACAGTCATTTTAATTGGCTAAGCTGCATGGTGGGTAATCAGGTAGCTGCCATTCCTTGTGGCCTTTAGTTTTTTCTTTAATCTTTCTGTATTGAGTCTCTAAGCTTTGTACTTTGGTGGTTTTTATTCATGTCATATATCTAAGTTCAGAATATTCTAGATACAATAGAACCCCAGAGACATCTGTCTTTTTAAACTTGATTCTGTATCTATGAATCAGACTTTAATTAAAACTCACAGTATGCTCTGGGAAGCCTCACCTAAAAAGCTGAATTGGGGGAACAGTTGTGTTCAAAGTCTTGTCCTACCTCAGCAACAGTCTCCTTCTCTTCTGATCTGTGGCTTCCATGTAATTTAAGATCAAACCCCAGTCTGGTTATTTATGCTTTACTTTTGAGGGTGCAAGAAGTTAGATTTGGAAATGGGAGAGTTGCTGATGGACCTTACCACATACTGACGTTCTGGAGAAGTCTGTGGTAGCTAGAAGCACAAAATTGTTGTTTTTGGAAAATTGTTGTCTCCTGGGAAAGGTTTTCTTCCTAAAGCTCCTCTGCCATTTAATTGTCTGCCACTTTGCTCACAGTGAGTGCTATAACTAACTGGCTGACCAGCCTTTGCTAAGACCAAGGACTTGTGCATGGAGGAATGTATGTACCACTGTAGCCTCTGTCACCACTGCCAATCTTGTTCTAGAGGAAACCAACTCAGGATGTCAAGAATACCCCGCTCCCCCAACCTCGGTCCTGAATGATTAGTTCTGGGGGACATTATGTTAAATGAAAGAAATCATCCTCCTTAAAAGAAAAGGAAATAATACATGTTTTCACTTACCTGTAAAAGCTAACAGGTTAGTCTTGAAGTACTAGGAAATAGAATGATGATTACCAGAACATGAAATGAGTGGGGGGTGGGGAAAGTGAAGAGAGGATGGTTAATGGGTGCAAGAATGAAGTTGGATAGAAGAAGTAACTTTTATTGGTGCTGGGTTTGGACACAGGACCTCATACATACAAATGTATATTGTACCACTGAGCAAGACCCCCAGTTTAGAAGGAATAACTATAAAAGTTAACCCATTATAGTCAAAGGTGATTGGTTTTGGGGCAGGGATGCAAATGAGGACTACGGGGTGATGTATAAGATGAAGAACAGACAGACAGATAGATAGAGACAAACATGTATATACACATTTACGTATATATGCATTCAGTATATATATGTATATAGACACATGTATATATACTGTATATGAAGATAGCATAATGAAAACCACTCAACACTGCGAACAGGAGGTTAAGGGAATGTGATAATAAAACAAAGGGTGAACTTCTTCAAAGAACACTGTGTCAATCTATGGAATACAGCAATGAAATCCACCTGTATTATATAAATGTATGCTAATAAAAAGTAGCAAAATGATGAATTAAATGTTGGAAAATAGCTAGCATTAATGTACCAGTGAACAGGCCAGTTCTGTGAGTGGATAATTAAACCTTAAATGCTCATGTGCATCTGGTCTGTATCAGGTCTGTATTTCACTCCATGAATAGGAACAAGGCCTAGGCAACAATTAAAAATAAACACAGACAAAAATATTTAAATGATGTAAAAATGTGAAAACACAGATATTCTTGTTTTCTCTTCTCTCAGGAACTGTGTTTAGCAGAGTTCTGGGCAGAGGCAGACACTGTCTTGATCATGTTGAGGGAGCGAAGTGTAGGTCACCTGCTGCACAATGAGGTGAGGAATTGCACAGGAGCTACAGGAGTCCTGGGGGAAGACTCTATGGACAGTGCTCAGAATTCCCCAGTAGAGCAGATGGAGTGACATTGTGTCCACACAAGTATATTCTGGGGATAAAAAGCTCTTTGAGTAACAGGAGAGGAAAAAGGAGGCCTCTCCCTTTCTGGGGTCTTTCACTTTTAAAAATTGATTCCTATTTAATTTCAGCCATTTAAGTTCCTAACAGCCTTGAGTGATACGGAAGTCTGCATGACAGAAACTGCTAGTGGGGCAGAGTAAGGAAGTGCTGGATGACAATGCAGACAAGTTGACAGAACTAGGAAGTGAACTAACCCTACTGTCAGAGAGGCAGGCATAGACCCTGCTTCTACATTGATACACACACACACACACACACACACATACACATATATACACATACATATATATGTAAACGTAGGAACATGCATATATATTATATATTATATATATGTGTATATGATTTTCTCGATGGCTATATCTGAAAATCCAGGACCCTATGCATTATATTTCTTGGTTTTCTCTTCTTGCCTTCATCTATTTCTCATCTGTGATTTTTTTCTCTTGGTGGACACAGTCCTCCCTGAGCTTGGAGACAGTGTCTGTTCATGTCCCAAACAAAAAGAATTTCAACATCTCTAGGCAAGTGAATGTTTCCTCACTGCATTCCTTCACTCGGGGGGGACAGGCCGAGCACAAGTGTGGCTGTGAGGACCGGAGCACAGCTGTGGTCAGCGCCAGTTGACACGGTGGCACATGGAGTCCTGCTCACATTCCTCCCATGTGTTAGCCCAAACATGCTGTGAGATTGACGTTTAATGGGGCCACACTTGGGGGAAGAATCCTGTGTACTCTGCAGGAACAATTTTGCAATATCTCATGTCCCATGTGCCACACTCTTCATAAAAATCTCATGAATCCAAACTTGTCTTCATAAAGCCAATTGGCTGTTTGCTTTATTCTGGTTATTCCTTGAACTTGCAGATTTCTGCTTGCCTGGGAGATCTTTGAATAACGTGTATTTGTTGTTTCAACTTTAACAAGGCAGAATTAAATATGTTATATACTTAGTACAATTAATGGTAAGTATAAGGGAAAAAAAGGGCCACAAGGGAATAAATCATTAATAGATTAGGTAGTGACTTGCTAGCAGGTTGTGAACCCTGAGAATGTAAGAGTTCACTCACAACTAAGAATAGTTAATGTAAATTTTCCTTGCTAAGAGTTTTTTTTTAACTTTAGGTGGTTTTTTTAAAAAAATTTAAAATGATGAAATGAAACTTCACATTATTTCCTTTTTTTGTTATTTTCAGAAAAAACCACTGTCTGCAATAATCAAGGAAGTGTGTGATGGGTAAGTGTTGCAAAGGTTCTTCTGAAGCATTCACTCCATACATTGGCAGGACCATAGAGTATTTCCACTGGAGGGATAAAATATTATCCATAATCCTGTAAATAAATGATAACCATAAATCTTATTCATAACTCTTCATGTGACCTACCTAGTCACAAAGAATTACCTTGTGAGAGTTACCCTTCTTTCTCCACCAAAATCTTTCCCCTATTCCTCGAAGAATAGAAAGCATGGAATGGCTGGGTCCATGTGTACAGTGGGTTGGTATTATTTCTTTTGAACAGTTGTGTTCCTTTTGTCCTTCCAAGCAGGGAACCTTTAGAGTAAAGGTTCCTGAGAGTTAAATACACACTCCATCTAACATAAACTGAAAGCATCCCACAGGCCCCTTTGGAAGATGGCAGAATTAATAGACAAGTCCATGGGTAATTGTGTGCTTTGTGGACTTTTCTCACTGACTGACATGGCTTTCCCTCTTCCTCTGGGCTGTTCAAACAATCCTGGGGAAGGGCACATTGGAAAGTCACATGGTATTTCTTGACTTGTAAAGCAGAACTTTGAATAGAATATTAGGGGGAAGTTAGAGAAGACTTGCCATAATTGGTGTGTCCCAATCTGTGTGGAGTGCACTGATTGTGAGTTAGAGAATTCAGTGACAATTGGCAATGTGCTAATTATCACATGTTTAAATTGCTGCCATTTACCTTGCTATCATTTCTTTGCCTCAATTGTTCAAAATGAAGAACGTTGCCATTCACAATTTAAGTCCCCCCCCCCCCCCCCGCCCCAAACCTTGATGAAATGCTTAGAGGTGAGCAGTAGCCTTGGTCTAGGAACTTCAGAGATGAAAGGACTGTTCGTCTTAGGGTAACAGGTGAGTTAAAGCCATTTTCTTTAGAGACCCCATTGTGCCTATTTGAAACTGACTCCATTCTAATCATAGTGAATGTAATTCACCTCACCCCTGTAGAACGAATAAAAATAAAGATGAGCGCTTTTGTTTCTCTGATCACTTATGCTATGTTTTGTAGGTGGTCTCTTGCCAACCATGAATACTTTGCACTGCAACATGCTGACAGTTCAAACTTCTATATCACAGAAAAGGTAGGCCAGTCACATTGTTTAATCTGGGATACTTACACTGAAGGACAGTACACAGAGTAAGGGGTTTCTTCTGTGTAGGGCCTAGCATGCTACATTTTTTATGTCTTTACCATCCATAAAAATAGGGTCTATAAAAAAAATCAAAATAAAAACAGCAAAAAAAATCCTTCTACTACTTCTTATAAGAAAGTAGTTAATCTATTCAAGAGTAAAGACTAAGTATGTTTCTGAATCCTGCTAGCAAATTACATTTCCTTTTTAACAATTAAATATTGCTGGGTTAGAGAATTTACTTTATACTGGATGACTTAAGTTTGTTTTCTTGCCTCAGATTTTTATTTTCTCTGTAATTTGTTTCCCCTGGTCTTGGCCTAGGTGCTGTCTTTGAGTTTCTTGGGCTCAATGCTAATGCTCTACAAATTGAGCTGCAGCTACCTTTCTGGTTTTTTTGGTAGTTTATTGGAGGTAACACTCTCACTGACTTTACTGCCTGGGTTGGCTTTGAAATGTGATGTAACTAGGATTACAAGAGTGAGGTAGCAGCACTCAGTTTCCCCTGTGTTATTATTTTTTTAAATGCTTAGAAGAGTGACAGGAAATCTTGTCACATGTGGCACTTTGTAGTCACTTGCTTATGACTGTTGGAAACCAACTTTCTTCCTGGGTGATCTTCACACTCTTTAGAAAGCTTGAATGAGGAGTGATTTGAGAAGCCTATAAATGGACCTAGAAGCAAGGAAACTCAGTACCCAAAAGATCTCTGATGGGCAAAGGGGAATCTAGCATTAATAGGTACCAGGCGCACTGAGCCAAGCAAATTTATGTTTGCTTATTGATTTTTTTTTTTCGGTTGTGGGGCCTGAACTCTGGTCCTGGATGCTGTCCCCCAGTTCTTCAGCTGTAGACCAGCACTCTATCACTTGAGTCTCAGCCCCCACTTCTGGCTTTTTCTGCTTATATGGTGCTGAGGAATCGAACCGAGGGCCTCATGCATGCAAGGCAAATGCTCTACCACTGAGCCACCTTCCCAGCCCCTGTTTATTGATTTTTTGTTTCTCACAAGTTAATATAATGGATGAGAGGCCGGATCATTGAGATCACACAACTGTACCAGTGTCACTTACTTGACTCAGCAGTCAAGAGTTGAGATTTGATTTTTGTGCTTCAAGGATTTTATGGAAATATCTAGAATGGATTAGCATTCAGCTCATATTTAGGACAAACTCACTGAAATGCAGAGGAGCCAGTACTGTATTTGTGGGTGATGACTATGTGGAGAGAGGAAGCCCCCAGGGAATGTCTTTGTAATATGGTAGCCTTCACTGGGAGGGATGTGCGTGCAAAGTACTCTGAGTAGAGGATGAATTAGGTAATCTAAGGCTTGGAAGGTGAGAACAGCAGAAAAAGATGTGACCCCTACTTGTGTTTTACTTTCTCCACCCTGAAGAGTGTGGGGGACATTTGATTAGCGTGTGGAAGGCTGGCCAGAGTCCTGGAAGTGCTTCTTAGCCATTGCTTTGTTCTTCCCAGATGCATACTAGAATGTTTGTAATTGATCATGTTTTTCTCTTTACCCTGATAGCTGGAAAGCTGAGAGTTAGAGGACTAGATTCCCTTGTTGCATTTAGATTTGCTGTTGATTCATTCCATCAGCCTTTAGTTTTCTGGCTTTACTTTCCGTTTGCACCACTTTCTCACTCCTTTTCACTAATTTTATACTACATCTTATTTGTGAGATAAATAAACTAAACATAAATAAACTAAACTGAGATCAATTTTCAGTTAGTGACAGGACTATAATAATAGAATAACTAGTTCAGAGAATATATCACCTGTGTTGTTTGTGAAATATTTGTTTCACACACACAATCTGTGTAGTTTGACTTAGTTTTTATATTGTGTTGTGGTCAGATCAATCTTTCTTTTGACTGATGAAGCCTGGCTTGTGTCCCCTCTCCCCTGCCTCCCCGCCCCATTGCCCTATCTTCTGTCCTAGTAGTCTAGGGGCCTTAGTTTATCCTGGATTGCTAACTATGGGGTCCCCAGACTTCTGAACACAAGTATTACAGTCTAGATTTTCAAATCTCAGCCCCAGAGATTCTGAGTGAGCAGGCCTGTGCTCTAGATTTAGACATTGTTTATGTGGTAGGATTTTTAGTTTAGAGAATCCTCTAGGAGATTCTGCTGGAGGCAATCCAGACATTACTCAAAGAAAGTATTTCTTTGAGTACACAGGGGGCCCCTGTGTACAAGGGATGGTGTACGCTAGTCAGAAGTTATCACCCAATTTGATTCTGGGCATATATATGCATTCCCATTCATAACCTTTACTATCACAACCCTAAATAAAATTCATACCTTCTTACGAAATCCAAACTACTGAGACGAAGAGAAAACATTCTTCTAAAGGATATCATAGTTATTTTTTGTAAAATCTTGTTTTTTACTGAGAAATTATCTCAAGGCATTACTGGGATTTGAACCTAGGGCTTGACACTTGATAGGCAGGTGCTATACCACTTGAGCCATGTGCCCAGGCCCTCGCCTGAAAATTGTTTTGTTTAGTTTGAAAGGGACAGAGCATCTAAATGTGCTATCAGGTCTCCAGCGGGAAGTAGCAGAGAGAGATTAGAGGCTTGTGTTTCTAATTGTAACCCTGTGTTTGTAAATAAAATGTCATCACCTCCTTTGCAGCTGTTCCTGGTTCTAGCTTTGTGTGTGTTTGTGTGTGACACAGAGCTGGACACACACAGAGCAGGAGAGGCTGGTAAATCTTGCCTCTGTGCAGTGGAAGCTGGGCTATCTTAGTATTCTGTAGGTTCATATAGGCTCTTGCAAATATTCCTGAAAATAGAGACCTCGTTCCATTCTTGAATTTCCTCCTTGCTGTCTTCTTGGTTACTTACTGACCAGTGAGTTGTTAGGCAATATTTGCATCACCACGGAAACCAGTGATTCATGTTTGAAACTTGCGTGTGCCATTAGTTGCTGATTTTGACGCATATATGAGGTGGTTTCCCTCCTTCTGTTGGAGAAAAAATTGCTCTAGTACCTCAAAGAGGTGATATTCTCCCACCTCATGGTTATTGATTCTCTTCTTCAATTCTCTTCTAATATTGCCAGGAAGGCATCTCCCTTGCTTTTTTCATGTTATCCAAGCTCCTTTTCCAAAAGCCTTCATTTGTGTATTGGTCCATGAACTGGAGCTTTTCAGTTCAATGAGAGAAATGGCATGTTAAGTAGCAGTCTACAGAAGTATAGATTGCAAGTAAAAGCCTCAGAGACCAGGAGCTGGTGGCTCATGCCTGTAATCCTAACTACTCAGAAGGAAAGGATCTGAAGATTGCAGTTCAAAGCCAGCCTTGACAGGAAACTTCATGAGATCCTTATCTCCAATTAACCATCAAAAAGCCAGAAGTGGAGCTGTAGCTCAAGTGGTAAAACACTAGTCTTGAGCAAAAAGGCTAAGGGACAGAGCTCAGGCCCTGAGTTCAAGTCCCAGGACTGACACACACACACACACACACACACACACACACACACACACACACACACACACACGAACATGCATGCATGCATTAGAGGAAGGTAAAATTTAGTTATGTGTAAGTTCAAGTTCTGTTCCAGAAGGTTACTTATTTGGGGGTGATATCTGAGGGAGAAAGGGAGAAAAGGGAGGGGAGGAGAAAGGGAGAGAGAGAGAGAGACAGACAGACACAGAGAGAGAACAAAAGAGACAGGTTGCTATAAAATTTGCTTTTTGAGTAAGAATTATAAGGAGAGAATGCTCCTTTGAGTCACATAGACTTGTGTTATGGTCGCTGTAGCAGAGCAATGACAATGAGGTCACAGGTTATTCAGGTCAGAAGTGGGTGGGCCCTGCTGGTCTCTCCTGGAGATCCTCTGTACCACCATCTGGGCCCCATTTGTTTCTGTGGATTCCAGCTCAGGATAGAGATTGTCTCAGGAGATTAAATACAGAAGTTACCGGCTGAGAGTCCTGGTTACCAGTTTCAGGGTATGATTTCTCGTGGGGTGGACACTATGTGGGTGGACATCCACACTCAGCAGAGATTCACAGAGCCTTTCACTTCCCTTTGTTCTACTTTGGCTGTCTGAGAGCACGTGTGAGTGTGTGTGTGTACACACATGTGTACTAATGCCATTCTTGTTTAGCACCTGGGAAACTGCCTTGTTTTCTTTACCCTATTTGTGCAGAAAGCTGGGTATCCCAGCATATAGGTCTCAGTGCAGGAAGCACTAGGAGGTTGCATACTTACATTAATGGAGGCTTTGTGAAGACTGCAGAGCCTGAGAATGCCCAAAGTGCTCTCCATCTGACTGATAAATGCCTTCACTTGTCATGGTAGAGATCAGGTGAGCCTCATCCAGGTGCCTCCTGGAAAGCTGAGCTAGGAGCCTTTGGGAAGAAGTGGGGTCCTTTTGGGCTCACCCTCATTTTGTCCTCCCCAACTCTTTGGTCTACAGGTCCTCAGGCAGCCCTGGACCTTCTCAGAGTCATGGGGAGGACATGACTGTGGGTAGCCTCTGCCTGCACCCCAGACATCTTTGGGTGGGGTTTAGTTCAGTGCTTTGGTTGATTGAGCCTTAAATTAGCAGAGTAAAACCAACTCCAGAAAGGATTGAAGTGTATAGATGAGGAGGGCGGAAGGCTGGTGCAGGAATTATGAGTTCCTGTCTGTGCCTCCCTAGGAGAGGAGCTTTGTGGTTGGTCAGTTGTGCCCCTGACTGAAATCACTGTGTATAGATCTTTGTGACCTCCAATCACAGAGTCTTTCCTAGGACAGACATTTTAATTGGAGCAAACAAACCCAAGTCCAGGAAGTTTATAGCTTTCCCAGCTCTGAAATAGTTATTCTTTCTGCCACCAGTTGTAAAATTCGGGATCCTTTGGACAAGAAGTTGCTGCTTCCTCAGTAAACCATACACCTCAGTCAGGTCATGCACAGTCACACCTGCAGGCTGGGCCAGTCCCTTCC